TACTCAATATTAACTACTTGTCTGTTGAACATTTGTATAAAGTCAATCTCACATTTGCAATCATGTTCACATGCTGATATTCAGGAAAACAGCACTCTTGCTTGCATGATATTACTAAACTATATCATATCTTATAACTATAATAAAACTTAATAAAACAAAAACCTATTTTGCTAATATAACTTGAAATATATTGTCATTTTAGCTGCATTCTAATTAGGCTTAACCATGCAGTGAATGCTTTTGGATGCATACGCAATAATGTCAGCTCACACATCGTTAAAATAACAATTATGATATTATCATAGACAGCAAATATTGCACACCTCTAGACTCCAGGTATAGAAGACCAGGGTTTGAATCCAGAGCGACACCAAATCAAAAAGAAACATTATTTGACAAAAAAGCCTAAGATGCCCAATATTCCAATGCAAATAGTAGAGGAAAGATCTATCCTACAAAACAGAGGGCTTTAACCCTGCTCCTGGAGACCCACTATCCTGCTAAGTTTAATTCCAACCTTCTCCAACACACCTGCCTGCCGTTTTCAAGTCATCCTGAACACAATGATTAGCTGGTTCAGGTGTTTTTGATTAGAGTTGCAGTGATACTCTGCAGTATAGTGGGTGAGGAGTGAAGACCTCCGCTATAGAGAGTTTTCACAACGCTTAACCATGCAGTGAATGCTTTTGGATGCATACGCAATAATGTCAGCTCACACATCGTTAAAATAACAATTATGATATTATCATAGACAGCAAATATTGCACACCTCTAGACTCCAGGTATAGAAGACCAGGGTTTGAATCCAGAGCGACACCAAATCAAAAAGAAACATTATTTGACAAAAAAGCCTAAGATGCCCAATATTCCAATGCAAATAGTAGAGGAAAGATCTATCCTACAAAACAGAGGGCTTTAACCCTGCTCCTGGAGACCCACTATCCTGCTAAGTTTAATTCCAACCTTCTCCACCACACCTGCCTGCCGTTTTCAAGTCATCCTGAACACAATGATTAGCTGGTTCAGGTGTTTTTGATTAGAGTTGCAGTGATACTCTGCAGTATAGTGGGTCTCCAGGAGTGAAGACCTCCGCTATAGAGAGTTTTCACAATATGTCATCAATCCAGAAGTCGGTCATATTGGCGGCACTAAACGTAAACAATGCCACTGAACCGAACGGAACTCGCAAATTTTGCTGATTATTGATGCTGGAAAATGGTCTAATGATAATGGAGATGGAATGTAGACGCACAATTTATGCAATTGAAAGAGCAAGAAGTTGGACTTTTAAAAATGCCGGGTAGCCGGTGTTTCATATGCGTTTGGCCAATCAGCGTACACTACGTCACTGTTAGATCCTATAGAACTGTTTTAGACCCTACTCTGAAGTAGGAGCTAATTTAGTTCCCCCAAACTGAGTTCCTAGAACTAAAACCGTTCCTAGTTCCTGTGGTGCGAACACGCCAAAAAACGGATACTTCCGCCAATAGTTCTAGGAACTATGAAAGGTTCCTCCGGTGCGAAAGTGCCTATAGACTGCCAAACGTTACAACAAATCAAGGAAAAGAGTGAAAAAAAAAACTGAGGGTAGAAGGCGTTTGTGGTTGGCCAAATTGAACCTGAATTTCCAGGGCAAGAATCTTGACAACAATCGTGTTTGCTGTTATCATTTCTTGTCAGGTAGGTGAAATATTAGACTTATATCCTAACTAATACTATAAACTTTAGTTTGTCAAAATATCACGCCCTTTCCTGCTTACTAAGTCCTGATTTAGCAGCTTCCACGCGTTTTTTCTGTGGTTTAAGCCCCGTTCACACCAAGCACGATAACTATAAACATAACGATAAAGACATAGTTCTAAAAATCGTTCTCAATATTAAAGAATAGCAGAGTCCACACCACAGCTATAATGATAAAGGCACAGAAAAACAATATCGTTGAAATCACTTTCAGAAGGTTTTTTTTTTTCCAGCAGATGAACGATAAAATCATTGACAACAAATCAGAATCAATCCTGCTGTCACGAGTTTGAGAATTTAAAGCGGCAGACGAGTGTGCACTTAGAATAAACAAACGATATCGTCCACTGGTTTGGACGCTAATATCTTTATCTTTATAGTTATCCTTATAGGTGTGAATGGGCCTTTAGTCAAGATTTGCTACTCAGGTAATTTGTCTCAAAAACAAAACCGTGCCCACAATCAAAGTTACTGCTGTTTTACATACTATTTTGTATACACTGTACATACTATATAGTATACAATGTATACTGCACAGTATGCTAGTATGTCATTCAGAACATAGCCTCTGTTGCAGCGTATGCAGATTTGTAACACTTTTATTATCTTTTTTTTTTTTACCTCCTGAAGCCTATACGTCAAAATAAAAGGAAGATGATCAACATGGCAAACACAATGACCCCTGAGCCCCTTACAGCCCTCTCTCGATGGTACTTGTATGCCATCCATGGTTACTTCTGTGAAGTCATGTTCACGGCCGCCTGGGAGTTTGTGGTGAACTGCAACTGGAAGTTTCCCGGCGTGACGAGCGTGTGGGCGCTCTTCATCTACGGAACCTGCATCCTGATCGTAGAGCGCATGTACCTTTGTCTACGGGACCGCTGCAATGTGCTGCTCCGCTGCATCATTTACACACTGTGGACATACCTGTGGGAGTTCGGCACGGGTTTGCTGCTACGACAGTTCGACGCTTGTCCATGGGACTACTCAGAGTTTAAATATAACTTCATGGGCCTGATCACGGCAGAGTACACTGTGCCATGGTTCTGCGCCTCCTTTATCGTAGAACGCCTAGTGATCCGCAACACGCTCCGGTTGCGCTTCGACGAGGCCGCCGATCCCGGCCAGTCTGAAGAACGTTCGGACAGAGGCGGTGGAGGACGAGGAGGCGGAGGGCGAAGAGCACGAGGGGCCAGAGCAGGGGCCACCAGC